TTAATGATTTACCTGTCCACTACCTGGACTACTGGAAATTTTTCCAAATGAATTGCAAAAACCTGTCGTATTCCGCTAGGTACTCGATACGACTTAAATAATCTTCCTCCAAATTTGAATCAGTGTCTTTTCTATAGCCACCGAAATGCTCCACGAAATGCTGCTCCTAAACTCGCCAATAAATTCACAATGGCTATGACTCATTCTGAAACGGCTTACGAGTACTTTTGTTCTGAACCAATTTGTTGTCCTTAGCAAGTACCAAACCTTCAGCTATTGACAATCTTTTTTGTAAAGTCAACATTGACTTTATAGAAAAGATGGCACCGAAATGTTTCGAGTTCTCTCAAGCTTCTAGCTAAATTACTCCAGTCATTGAATTCCGTTGAAAATTCGACAACTAACAAATAGCATCAATTTAAATTTATGCAAACTAATAAAACAATATCAAGTTGAAAATCTACTCATTTTTTAAAAATTTAAATTTAGATTTAAACTCCAAACAGCTTTCTTAGTAATATTTTTCTGTCTTTTTTATAATTAAAGGTACTTTACTTGAAAATGAACATAGGCATTCGATTACTGTAGCTAGTTTGTATAATATAAAATTTATATGTAAGGAATATTAGAAGGCAAGCAATTCTTTTTATGAAAGAAAAATTATTTGTCAGATCAGTAATAAAACAGTTTCCATATGTTCCTGACTTAAGCAGATACATTAAGAATTACTATCTATCAAACAAACAAAAAAAAAATGGAAGTAATATTTTGCTTTAAAATCTTACGTCTTTACATTTTTTACGATTGCTAAAAATTAATATTAAATATTTAAAATCTTACGTCTTTACATTTTTCGTACGATAAATAGTCCTAAAAATGTAATATTAATAATCAGTATGAAGCAAACAGTAATTTATGAACAATGTTACATGACAACAATTTCTAAGATTGTGCATAATTAAAATAATTTTATTGATTTTATACTTATTACTATTGAGGGAATGGCAGATCGACTACATAATAATAAATTACGTCCGAGGTGAGAACATGTATCAGTCTTTCATTACAGCTGAGCTCTTTTGTATTCGAGAAAGAGATGTCACAGAGCCAGATACAGAGCGAGACAATAATCTGTAATGAAACTCCCACCGAGGTTATATGCTGTTTAAGCCATAATTATCGCTGGGTTTTAAACGTTAAATTAATTCATATTTTTGATCAATTCTATCATTATTTAGCCTACTTTAATACAAGGCATGTCTGCATTGCTAGACTACGTTACGTATTTTACCGCCCATGAGAAGCAAATGCCCGTTTACCACAGATGAGATGAGTATGTCATTAGAGGAATGAGGTAAAGAGATTAAGAATTGATATATTTACTAGTTCTGTAATGATGTGTATAAATTATAATTATATTCATTATTAAGTTATTACATATGTATACTTAACTCACTTGATAACAAAACAAATATACTTCTACACTAACTAAAATACCACTGAACAGAATTATACCGTTATTTCTCTCAAATTCGAAATAAATCCCACTCGTGAAATTAGGAAAACACCCTTGCCAACAGTAAATCAATAAGTACATGCTATCTCTAACTCGTCAGTAAAACGATCTTGCATTTAGTTTCGCAGCTAGTTTGTCCACAAAACGTGTACCATAGATGGTGTTATTCATTTGTCAATTTAATTTGTAGAATACTACTAAATTATTAATTATTTTTATTAGGAAAAGGATAATTATAAATAAAATAATAACAATAAATAAAATAATAATAAATAAAAAGAAACAATTTTTTATTTTCAGACCTGAAATTTGAGGTCCCTTTGATCTAAGAAGCTCCAAGCACGCGCTTCGTGCGCTTGTGCTGAAATCCGCCGCTGATCAAAAGGGTATTGGCTGCATACCGATGAGAACTGGTTAATACGCAATTATTTTATAAAGAAAATTGCATATTAACCTGCAGAAGAAGAAAGGTAAAGTTTAGATAGTTAATAAAAATTTAAGTTACTTTTTATTAACTGAACGATTTTTTATTGCAATACAATTCCAAAATTTGATTCTTTGTTCTTCTGAAACGAGGAGTAATTTTATTAAGATATGGTTTTTATAATGATATATATGAGTATCCATGAGTAAATTTAAGGGAGAAAATGTAACATTGCGAGTCATCCAGGAGTATAAGAAGTAAATTTTATTTTTAAAGAAAATGAAGAAATAAATATTTCTTTTTTTATATATTTATGATCTCAATTATCATAATATAATTGGCAATGAAATCTCAAGCAGTTCCTATAAAATTCCCTCATTTCCGAAAAGCCGATGTTACACAAAGCGGATATGCAACTTCAAGCCGAATATCACCAAATATTGGTTATGTGCTGCCATCTAGTAAAGTAACTTGTAACGAAACGTATTTGACACTTCATATACTAATGTTGTTCCATATTTCATTTATTTTAAACTCCGCTTACCATTTTTTAACGTCTATAAGAAAAAATAAATCATTTATATTGTGAAACGTTTTTCTAAATAATTTATTTTGTGAAAACAAATGTGCTATAAGCAATTTTAGGGACTTTTTTCGATATAGCACTACAGAAATTAAAATTTTACATTAATTAGTTAATAATTAAACAATGTTCCAATCTAAAAATATGTTTTTCAATACCACAGTTAGTGTCTTAAGAATTTTTGCCCATCAGCGGCCATAGGCTGATTTTGTTGAAACCTTCAGTTCGATCTGAGTTCAGATCCTAGCGAACCGGCTGATTGCGTGGAATTTCCGTCGTTTTCCCAAAGTATAACATGAATACGAGAAAGTTTCTCTTACAAAGTCATCCACGAAGGCCTCTCTTCTATTAAGCAAATATCCTTTGAGAGATTCGCTATAATTAAAATACGCCACCACATATTCGTGTCAATCATTTTACTTTAAAAAATTTCCAAATGAGATCATTAGCCTAAGAACTATACAGCAAAATATGTGTGGTTAGTTCTATTAGGTTAAAACAATAAACAAGACAAGTATATCAAATTTAATTAAAACTTAAGTATGTATTTGGAATGATCTATATTTGAATGAGCCAAACGCTTTTCTTCCACTTCCACTTTGAATTTTTTTTAATCCTCAACCATCTTTGTGCACGTTCTTCTCGGTAGTACGTTTCCCCCCTGTTTTTTTCTTGTTGAGAAACTCATACAGACTATGCATAGGTTCCAGCCGTGATTGTTAGTATCAGATTTTAGCCAACACATTGTAAATACCTCTCGTTTTCCAGAGAGTTCTTCATCATAATTAAGGTGGACTGTCACATATAAGATCCTTAGCCAATAGGCAGGTATTTTCTTCCTTTTTGTTGTGATCATACATGAATCTGATCAAGGTTATCTCAGATCAGATGGATAAGTAAAGCAGCATCTGATCTCGGAATTAATCAAACCATTAAAATTTTAATACAACAATATGCAATAACATTTATCATTTCATAAAATACATAGATGAACTATTAAGAAAATGTCTTTAATGGCAATGTAGATATGAAAAAAAAAACATTGAACGAAATTGATGAGAATACAACAGAGAGGTGTTTGAAGAATGTTATTTATTTGGAGTCTGTATGAAATATATATAGTAAATTTCATCCCGATTGAAAATTAAGTCGTAGAGTTGGCCAAATGATAAGAATTGACATCGATATGAACTTGAAAACTGTTTCAAATTTAAATTCTCTGGAAATGTTTATTAAAATTCATACCAGCGCTTCATCTTCTAAAGAAATGGAAGAAGCTGTGATGCAGGAAGAGAACGAAAAACATCACTATTATGAATTAATATTTCTAGCCATTAACTGATATTTTCGCCAATCCTGTTCATAGAAATACATTTTTAACCTTACACGTAGAAGACAACAAGTTCCATTCTGAACCTCAAGATGTTAAGCCCAAGAATTCTGAAGAGTCGTATGTCTAATAATTTTTATTATTGAAGAAGTATTAAGTAATTGAAGTACTCTTGTATTTGAAAATAACTTTTTCTATATTACAAGAATACAATCTTTGAAAAAATTCAGAATTAATAACATAATGTACAAAATTTTCGTGCTAGAATAACTCGTGAATAGACCATTGCAATTTTACTAATGGATTATCTAATAAATAAAATGGAATATCTGAAACTTTTGAACTTTAAAAGTGGTCATAACACTCTTCACATCCTTTTTACTACTTTTATTAGTTATCACTGTTTAATTAGTTACTATTGCTTATTGTTATATTTTCATTATAAAGTACTGGTTATTAAACATTTCTGATATTCATAAATAAGCCGTCCATTTATATGGCGCTTCTGGCATCCCGAGTCTTCGAAACACGGTTTTGATGTTTGTGTCGAAGAAGAGCAGTTCCGAATTTGAAGATGTTAATCCTAATGATTCTGAGGGCGTATGTTTATTGTTAAACGATGCATTAATTTTATAAATAAATTGTACATATTTCTAATTCAAAATTACTTATTTCTGGACTGAAGAGAACTTCGTTTTGAAGTAAGTATTTTAAATAGTGTCACCGCCAGTTCTGTTAGATGAAACTCTAAATTGCACAGTAGGTGTTCAATAGATACTAATACAAAAACTTATTTATTTGTGCATTTAAGCAAATGCACAAATAAATAATAACATAATGTTTATTATTTATTTAAGCAAATAACTAGACTATACTATGGCAAAGTATGTATTTAATAAACACACACTTCCGATTGTATTAAACTCGGAATGCTCAAACTGCACGGTTTGCGCTCTTTATAGTTCAAAGCAACACATACAGCCAATCTTTACCGTTGTGTCAACATTCATTTGTAGCGTTTAACGTGAGAAAAGAAAAAGTATTCCACACCTTTTCCACGTGTGCCAAGCATCTCACAGATAGCGACCCCCTTTTAATAAAATTTGGCACTCTCGAAGCACAACTAACAAAGAAAAAAAGTACCTACCACGTCGAAAAGGTGCGACCAGCACCTCTCCTCAAATCTGCACACAAAGAATTCCTTGTCCGGGCGGCTGACAGGTAGATCCTCATCCTGCACACGACATAGGACTTTCGACGCCTCATTGCAGAAGGTGTATGCCTCTTCTTCCTTAGTTCATGCTCATTTAGTTTCTGCATCATTTGGAGAGTATTCCTTTGGAATATGACTGCGTTTGGAAGAAAATGGAATTGGGTAAGTGTAAATAATGTAAATAATATTTAATTTTTGTTAATGTTATTGCTAACTTGATATTTACAGCCATAATACGGCAGATGACATAAACAGTTAGTACGAGGGCAATAAAAGCATACTAAACAGGAATCAATTATATTATAATTAATAGAAAATATTATTAACTACTTATCTATATTTTCAAGCAATTTAATTTGGAGAATAACTTCATTTGCTAATGTAAATTAAATCAATATTCTAAACAAAAAAAAATGTAAGCAATGTAAAAATAAACATTGTTGCAATGGAAGAATCTTAAGTTATAAATGGCATTAAAGAATAGTATTTACAAAATAACTTGTCGTTAAGTTCTTATTCGAAAACAAATGGTCCGTAAGAACTTGTTTTTTATTGCACAGTCTTTACATATTACTGATTATGTACTGTAAATGAAAAAAAACGATTCCTAAATACTATGGCACCATTTACAATCGGTGGCATTATTCATCTAATATTTCCTTTTCTTTTGTATTAGCTGTAGGCAATTTTGTTTCCTGCTGATAGTTTATGACAGTAATTTTTCCATCGTTTCATTTAAAAGAAACTTAACTTTTTGTTTCTGCAGGATTCGGTTTATCAGCAGGCCGGTTAATCCCTCGTTAAATGATAGTAGACTATATAAAAGTTCGAGAAAAATCTAAATAAAAGTGATATGAACTTAAAACGACATACAAAATGTTTGAACTAACTGTTTATGTCATCTGCCGTATTATCGCTGTAAACGGCAAGTTAGCAAACAGTTTGCATGTCGTTTTAATGATTGAAATTAAAAAAGGGAAAATTTTTAGATGACATTCTAAAATTCTAATCAATCAGTACGGTCAAAATGATGATCAACTTCTTTGAAATGCATTTATTAATCTTTTTCAGAAAATTTCTAAATGAATTTTATTATTCTTAGCCCTGAATATATGATTTCACAAATAATGTTAAATTTTTTATATTACTTTAAAAAATTTTCAGTTATTTTAGTATTATTTGTTGGCATCAACAGTGGAGTAAATCTTATCCTCTGTTGTTTGTAATGGAAATGCAAACGTAAAAATCAAGTAGTTTGACTTTCGCCAAACCCGCCAGCCAGGAGTAGCTTCGAGCTTGAATTAAATTATAAGCATTGTAGCAACGTATAAAGATGCAATTATGCGATTCACAAATAATGCGAAAGTGTCTCCGCAAAGGAGGGTCATTCCAAAAATTGAGCAGTTTTGATTTCTCATGTCATTATTTCTTCAGTTCACGAATAGTTTTGATTTCTTATGTCCAATAGTCATATTGGCATTGTTACCATCCTTCGATATCCATTTTTGGTTCCGATATCCGGTTCATCCATTTTTGGTACATTTTGACTAAAATTCCGAATTAGTGAAATGTGCAATGATCGCAATACAAGAAATGTTCCTCTTCCTCACTGTGTGATGTAATTGGTATCATGTGTGTGTAATTGGTACGATGTGCTTCGTGATGTAATTGATATCATGTGTAGTTAACAAGCCGGAAGATCCGTAGTTCGAATACCTACGAGGGCATAATTGATTTTTCGTGGTTCCTGCTACAAAAGACCTAATATTCTCTATAACTGAAACTGTAAAATAAATATTCTTTCTGAGTCTTTATGAGTTTGAAGTAAAGCATAAATGTAATAGGGAAGCCAAAATTCGTTGTTGTTATCGATTTGAATTTTGAAAAATGGTGCGAGGACGTTTGAATTTTCAATCCAAAATATTAATACATCTTACGAGTTTTCTGATTTCTGTATAACTTAGAGTTAAAAATGATGTACTTAGAATATAATTATAGATAGAACCTTCTTTTAAATTAGTGTGGATCTAAGAATTTCTCTGTGCTCAGAAAGCCTTTCTAATTTGGTTGAAAATCTTATTTTTATTTAATTTATTTTGAGTCTCTTATTTATCCTAGTCTCTCTTATTTCTCTCTCTATCTCTGTTGTCTTTTCTTATGGAACAGAGGGCGTGTGGACCGAACAGGAATTGCAAAAGTTATTATAGGTCTTATCACTATTAGCCAAAGTTTTAGTTTTTATTCAATCAATAATTTTGATGTTCTGATTATAAAGAAAAAATATGCGTGTAGATTCCATCGGCTTCCTGAAGCTTGAATAAATACTAACACAATGTATCAAGGAATTCCTCTACAGCTGAGTTTATTGACGCTTGAGAGTTGTTGGGAAGGCGTTGGTAATCTTTTCCACTGAGACTGCCGCAGACCTATCCTCATCAATTGCTTGCTCCTTCAGTGAACGCTCTTACATTAAAGTATTGAAAGGCTTGAGGAAGAAGATTAAGGATAATGAACCTGAAATATTGTTTCGAGGATTGTTTCTTTGCAACGAAATCCAAGGTCTCCTACAGCCCCCAACAGATATATCAAATTCTGATAATTCGCCTGGTTTGTGCTACCTCATTCTCCAACTTTGTCTTGGGGTTTTCAAGTGCTCACCCTCATCAGGTGAAAACATCAAAAGCCGAAAACATCGCGGCTAAAACATCGCGGGACGAAAACGTCGCGGAGAAAACAACGCAAGGCGAAAACGTCGTGATACAAAACATCGTGGGAGAAAACATCGCAAAGAGGAAACATCGCAGTTCTAAAACATCGTGGTACAAAATATCGTCGTCCAAAATAAAGCGGTTCAAAAATTTCGCAGTTTAAAAACATCGTCGTCGAAAATATCGTGGTAAAAGCAAAGTATCTACAAATCATCGCATGACGATAACATCGCAGACATGCTGTTTTCAGGCTTTAATAATTGTAAATGGATATTTCCATAATAACTTCTGAGCGCAAGATCGAAAGAAGGATAATTTTTACTTTTATATTTTTTATTAACTAATAATTTTTTGCTGAAAAAGTAAGAAGAAAATTTAAGCATAGAAAATTAAGGCAACTTATAGCACTTAATGAAATTTTAAACTGAAATAGTTAACTAAAACGTACATACAAACGCAAGACGACGAAAACCACGTGAAAAAAACAGGCTTATTTTTTAACAAAGGTCATTAATATATCATTTTTATAAAGTTTCTACTGGTAATTTTTCGTTAAAAGTATAATCTAAAAAAGTTTAGAAAAACGGAAGCTACCTAACCCTTATCTATAAAAAATTGCTAATTATGAGATTATTTTCTTCACTTTTGTTAATCTAATACTCTAAAATGAAAAAAAATTATTTCTTGTTCTGCTTCAGTTTATTCTTAAGTATTAAGTTTCCTTCTTACTTTTTCAGCAAACATTTATTAGTTAATAAAAATTATGAAAGTAAAAATTATCTTTCTTTCCATCTCGCGCTCACAATTCATTATGGGAATATCAATTTACAATTATTAAAGCCTGAAAAAAGCAGATATGCGATGTTATCGTCCTGCGATGATTTGTCGATACTTTATTTTTTACCGCGATATTTTCGACGACGATGTTTTTAAACTGTGAAGTTTTTAAATCGCCTTATTTTCGACGACGATATTTTGTACCATAAAAAACACTTCTGGCATCAGAGCAAATAAAGTCCAGTTATTTATAAGACGACACATTATAATTTCAGATTTTCAACTGCTGTTGTCTTCCAAAATTACACGTTCTGTCGAAAATACAATCAAGGATTCTTTGTAGAAAATTTGATAGGTTTAGCAACCTGGATTACCCTTGTGCAAATTAATCTGGCTATCATTACACTTACTTCATCAACTAAGCGATATCACTAAAAACAAGTTCAATGAGTACTAATACCGGAGAACAGTTTAAATATAAGTGATAGACCGTACTTTTTTTCCAACTTGTTTAGTGTTGTGATGCTTTAGTTAAAATTTTGTATTGTTGGTCATGAATACATATTTATTTATTCATCTGTATTATATAATATATATATAAATAAATGTATTGTCTTTTCAGAACAGCAAGAACTTAAACATTGTAAAGTAGTAAGTAGTAAAAAGTAACAATAAAAGAGAAAAAATCAGAATGTAAGCGTAATATTACGTATCTCATAATGTCTCTTCAAGGAGCTGCTGCCAGAAGATTAATGAAGCTGGTGCATAAAGACGTAGTTGCAATTATGGCCAATTGAAAAGTTATTTATTCTTGATAAAACATACTTGAAGTAACTATACATAGATAAACTAACGCAATATGCGAATCAGATTTTGTATAACACAACACACTTTTATGCTACCTGTAGCAATATATTTGGAGTCAGAAAGATGGCATTTTAGCAGCAGGGAGAAGCGATTTATTTATTTACACATACATTAAGTTAAAAGAATAATACAGTTCCTACTTTATTTTTATTGGTTATTTAAGGATTTGGTTTGCGAAATTTAATATCATTATTGTGTAAACGAATTTAAATTTTCTTGTGTCACTATCTTCCGTCATAAACATTATATATGAAAATCAGCGGGGAACTACTGCACGAATTCCTTGCCTTTTGCATTTGTAGTTCTCTTTTGGTGTAAGATTTTAAGTCTATATCTTATTTAATTGGATAAGCAACTGATTTTGATGTCTTGAAATTTTGAGCAATTTGGTGAATAGAAAATTCCGGGTTCTTGGAAAAACTTTCATTTAACCACTTTCGTGACCTGTTTGTTTGTTAGCAATTTACTTTGTCCAAAAGTTTCATTGACATCAAATTGCTAAATTTTAAAATTGCATAAATCTTTGCTTCGGATGTTTGTTTATTTTTATGATGTGTAAACGTAACATTTTTCTCTTTCGCATCACAATTATAAAAGCTAGGAATACTAATATTTGTTACTAATAATACTAATATAATACTAATGTTATTTGTTATAATAATACTAA